TAATGTGTTTAATGTGTTTAATGTGGTGTTGTTTTCTTGTTGCTGAGGTTCACAGGTTGTTCGTGGTCATATCCAATTGAAGGAAAACGTACATTTACATGCTTCCTCGTAGCTGGTTACTAATTTACACAAGACTGCCGTGTCATGTGACTGAGCCAGTTCCTCTTGTACATTCATCAGCAGCTCTCTGTCACGAGTTAATGCCTCCATCCGTCCACGGCGCTGTAGGTCATATTCCCGGGTTGTCTTTACCGTGTGAAGTCCAGTCAGCCTGTAGAGACAGCAGCTGCTGGTGCAATTAACATATCGTTGAGAATTAATAATAACTGCGCTGACAGAAGTGACATGGCTCTTACTTTCCACTATTGCAAAACAGCGGCTGGAGAAGCTAAGCGCATTATTATTAAAGGGGAACTCTCAGTGGATGAGTCCCAGTGTTACTGATGAAGCCGAATTGCCTTTAGTTTAATGATCTGTTGTCATTTTATTATATTGGTATGTAAAGCCAGTTACTGCTGTTTTCAGTCTGTGTGTAGTGATAATGTCATGTCAATAGAAAATGTCCATCTTCTCTGTCACTCATTCAGTATACCCCACATAATAAACAATCAATAGTTCATCCTATAGTGCACAGTAAAGGACATTCTGTACATGTGTGGGTCTTATTGTTTATCGCTGACCGATGAAGTGCTGTGAAACTGTAATATTCTCATCTATCAGTGGAAAAGCATTGTTAGTGACGAGTATTGCACAGCCATGGGCACTGCTGTTTCATTTTATGTGAGATTTGTTTCGGGCACTTTATAGTGCATAATGTATTGATTTAAAACACAGCGTACATAGAAAACAGCTAGAGCTAAAAAACTATATGGTAAACATATGGTAACACAAAAATAACATGGTTTGAACTTCACACATTTTGTGATGCCAAGAATATTACCAGTTAAAGTCTCATGAACTTTAGGTCTGTTAGGTTGAGAAAATGTTTTTTTACTGTGAATTTATTTATTTATTCATGTTTTACTTAGATTGGAAGTCCTCTGGTTTTTCTCGTAGGTGTACAAGGAGACAGCTTAACGGTGCTGCAGGCTCCAGAGTTTGTGTCCTTCCAGAAAGGAGACTGGCCTGTTTCTGGGGAGAAGATTCCTGACCTGGTGGCCTTAACCATGGGCTTCTCTATTCAAGAGGTAGGTGCAAAAAGTAGCTTCAAGGTGATGATAGGTCAATGTTCTGTTCAAAAACATCTGTTATTGCATGTTAAACTTAGGATTATACTAGCCTAGCATTTACAATGTGTGTTCATTTGTACAGGATTTGTCCTGGCCAGGCCTTCAGGCTGGTCCATTGTTCCAGCGTCCCCGGGCTAACGTACTGGTGGTGGTAAGAGGAGTCGATAGCCTGGCCCTGCCTCAGAGTGTGG